AGGCCACGCTGGGCGTCTCCTTTCGGGGCTGGTAGAGGGGAAGAGGTTCTGCCTTCACTGCTCAGAGGGCGAAGGGTCTCTGGGGGTCTTGGCCACGGTTCTAAGCTTTGGGTGCCTGCGCTGGGAGGACGCGCGTCGCTCTATCGCCTCCTCTTCCAGTCGCCGCCTGCTAAATAAATAAATAATTTCTCTCCCAGCTGCATGGATGCCTCGATCGCCATCAAGCCCGTCTTTGAGCGCTTCCAGACGGTCATCATCACCTCAGGAGTGAGTGCTGGATGGAGCGCTTGGGGTCAGCGCCAGGACCCCCGTCTCTGGGGCTGGAGGTGTGGGAAGCGGCTGTCCTTACCTGCTGTTCTCCCCCCCCTTGCATTCAGACCCTTTCCCCACTTGACATCTACCCCCAAATCCTGGACTTCCGGCCGGTGACCATGGCCACTTTCACCATGACCCTTGCCCGGACCTGCCTCTGCCCGATGGTGAGTGCCAGAGGCCGGGAGGAGAGAGACCGTGTCCCCCTTCCCTTCCCTTCCCTTCCTAGGGAACCAAGCAGGCCCCTGTCAGTCTGGGCTGTGAGGTCCCCTCTCCTCGACCAGCTCCCTTGACCCTGGTTGGTGACACCGGGGGCCCCGGGCCCTTTCCTCTCATCGATTTCCCTTCCAGATTGTGGGCCGAGGGAACGACCAGGTGACCATCAGCTCCAAGTTTGAAACCCGCGAGGACATTGGTGAGGGTCTTTGATGGGGAGGGGGCAGCAGAGCTCTTGCCTGGAGCTTCCTCCCTTCCCGGGTACGGGGGCATCCCCAGGGGAGGGGAGGGCAGTGCTGAGGCCGCTTGCAGTTGAAGGGAGGGGTGGGGCCCCGTGGGGTTTTCTGGGGGCGACCCCCGCCTTGCCCTCCCCTCCTGGCCCCAGTTGGGAGCCTGAAGGGAATGTGCCTCTCCGACAGCTGTGATCCGCAACTATGGCAACCTGCTCCTGGAGATGTCGGCCGTGGTCCCTGATGGCATCGTTGCCTTCTTCACCAGCTACCAGTACATGGAGAACATCGTGGCCTCCTGGTATGAGCAGGTACGCCAGGACGCTGTGGCCGGGCCCTGCCCACCAGGCCCCCAGATGGCTGAGCTTGGGGACGCTTTTAACGGGGCCTTCAGGGGGGCTTCTGCCAAAAATTTCAGTTCTTAAAGTCTCCTAAAAGGGGTTGCGTTGCGTCCAAGACCAGGTCTCTGGGTCAAGCTTGCTGGTGAAGACAGCGGAGGGGCAGCCTGACTGCTGTGTGGATTTGGGGAGGGTCTCCCTCCCCTCCAGCCTCACAGCTCCCTCTGTGCTGCTTCTTGGTTCTTCCTCCAAGAACTGGTGTCCCTGTCAGATGCAAAGAACCAGGAACAGGAGTTGAGTTCAGAGGGCTCAAAGTTTATTCCATGTTTCCTACACATAAAAATCGGATCTCATCACGGAAGTGAAATTGGCTGCGTAAAGATTCCAAACCGAGGACGCATTTGACCCGGCCTTCGGGCCCCGCCTGGCCATCTACAGCTGAAGTCCTCTCGATAGCTGATCCCAGACTTAAGGTCATTCAGGAGGGAGAACATCAAACACTTCTGGGGTGTGGAAACAGAGCGCCCCTTCCCCCGTTCAAAACAGGCCAGGCATATTCTGCAGGTCCCTCGGAAAGAGTCTGGCTGCCCCTCCGTGCTCTTAAGGAGGCTGGGCGGGGGGAGACCGAAGGGCTGCCCGGGCTGCCGAGTCTCTCCAAGCAGCCAGGCCAGGTGGGCTTTCTCCTGCTGGGGCTCCACCTCTCTCTTCTCGGGGTCCTCCAGGGGATCTTGGAGAACATTCAGCGGAACAAGCTCATCTTTATCGAGACGCAGGACGGAGCTGAGACAAGCGTGGCCCTGGAGAAGTACCAGGAGGTGAGGGTTGGGGTTGGGGGGGGGCTCTTGCTGCAGGAGGGAAGGGCTCAGTTGAGCAGCACCCTCCCCCCCCCCCCGTGCCTTTCTCCCTCCAAGCCTGGTCCTGAGGTGGGAGTTGCTGCCTGTTGGAGGAGGCCAAGTTTGTTGACTTTTTTTTCTGAATTTGGGGTAAAAAAGACGTGGCTGATAAGATTGGTTGGTTTGCACCCCAGGCCTGCGAGAACGGCCGAGGAGCCATCCTGCTGTCGGTGGCCAGGGGAAAGGTCTCCGAAGGGATCGACTTTGGTGAGCGCCCTCAACCTCCCCCCTCCCCCGAGAAGCTCTGAGGGGGATCTGGACCTTCTCTTCTGCTGTTTGGGCAGAAGCCGGCCTGGGGCTGAGTTTGTGCCTTGCCTGAAATTCACAAAGATCTCGAAACTGCAGGGGGAGGACATGTTTGCATGCAGTGCTGACCTCCCCCCCCCTCTTTCTCCCTTCCCCAGTTCACCACTACGGGAGGGCCGTGATCATGTTTGGCGTCCCTTACGTCTACACCCAGAGCCGTATCCTGAAGGTGGGCCCTGCCTTTGGGCGAATCCTGGTCCAATTTCCTCCGGGGTGCTGGCAACAGAGCCTTCACTTCCTCTTGGGGGAAGACCTGGGACCCCCCATCGCCTCAGTTGAGTGGGGGGGCTCCCGTGGGACAGAAATGGCACGTTTTCCCACCCGCTGTTGGCTTGGCCGTTTCTCACAAGCTGCTGATGGAGGACACACACGTCTGGCTCAGCTGGCAAAGCATTGCCACACCTGGGCTGATTTCTGGGGGAGGGGGTGGGGAAGTGGGAGGAGACCCTCACTGCCCCTCCTCCCAATTCAGGCCCGGCTGGAGTACCTGAGGAACCAGTTCCAGGTCCGTGAAAACGACTTCCTGACGTTCGATGCCATGCGGCACGCGGCACAGTGCGTCGGACGGGTCATTCGCGGCAAGACGGACTACGGTCTCATGATCTTTGCTGACAAGGCGAGTCCAGTAGGGGGCGTCCTCTCGGCTGCAGCCTGGACGGCTGGGCGGTGGCTGATCCCGTGTCTCCCCCGCAGCGCTTCGCCCGGGCGGACAAGCGGGGGAAGCTGCCTCGCTGGATCCAGGAACACATCACCGAGGCCAACCTCAACCTGACGCTGGACGAGGCCGTTCAGGTGGCCAAGCACTTCCTGCGCCAGATGGCCCAGCCCTTCCGCAAGGTGAGACGGACTCGGGCAGGGGAGGCACCGTGGGAAGAGGCGGGCTCCAGCCGGGGGGCATCTTGTAGCCCGGGGCTCTCCGAAATTCTGGGAGTTGGAGTCCACAAGCTTTAAAGTTGCCAAGTTAGGAGACCCCTGGAATAGGCAGAGGCGGGGCGCTTTGCAAGTTATGCAGGCACAGCAAATTCTTTGAATCTTGGCGGCGACCTCCATCTCCTTTTCCTCCCTGGCTGACCTGCCAACCCAGAGAGCCCGGCCCCCACCTTCTGGCCCCCAACAGGGGCTCTCATGGCTTGGGGGGGCACACCATTTGCAAGAAGGGCTGCTTTGATATGCCCCTCTGGGCCTCAAAGTTTCAGTTTTCTGTCTTAAAATATCAAGAAACTGTGCCAGTTTTGGCCGGGGGGGGGGGCGCAGAGGCAGCTGCATGCTGTAAAAGGGGGTCTCGGGCCCATAGAGACCACCCCTCTTCTCCAGGCCGGCAGCTCTACTCTTTCCATCATGACCTTCAGCAAAAAGGGGGCAGAGCCTCGCTTCCTGGGCACCGGCAGCCAGGCAAGGGAACGATGGGTGTTTTATAGGGATTGCAATTCCCATAATGCCTCGGTGCCGGTGCCGTGGGAATTCTGGGGAAAGTTGCTACAGCACTTAGAAAACAAGAGAAACATTTGCATCCTAAGTACGGTTTTGAAATGACAATGATGTTATCCATTCACTCAAATCCGACTCTCGGCTACTCTGTGGTTTTTAATTGTATTTCTTTTATGTTTTTTAATGATTCTGTGGTTTTGAAATACTGTACTCTGCTCAACAACAAACACTTCACACACAGCCCAGCAGCAGCAGCAGCAGCAGCCAGACATGCTGCCAGTGCACTGGGCACAGAGGTGTCTGCGGTTGCCCTGGCGGGGCAGCAGTGGGCCTCCTGACCCCTTCCCCTCCTCCCCCCTCGCCCTCTCCCCAGGAAGACCAACTGGGCCTGTCCCTGCTCACCTTGGAGCAGCTGCAGTCGGAGGAGACCCTGCGCAGAGTGCAGGAGATCGCACACCAGGTGTGAGTGGCAGCGGAGGAGGCCGGCCAGCGCGCTCTGCAGGGCAGGGGCCCCGACTGGCCCTCCCTCCGTCCCATCGGGGGCAGAGAAGAGAAGCTGCCCAAAGGCCTTTACTTTTGGCCTGGCTGGGCCCCTCATCCCTCTGCCCCCCCCCCAACTAATCCTAGATTTCTGGACTAGGGTTTTAATAAAGGGGATTAAGTGTGTTGCTACGCAAGTGATTTTCTTCTTTGTGTTTGTGTGTGCGTGCATGTGTGTGTGTGTGTTCTGCAACTCTCCCTTCTCTAGCATAAAAGGCGGCTAAGTGTGTCTTTTGGTCCTGGGCTAAAATCCCCTTGAAGTGGAAGAACTGGAGGAGGCATCTGATCCTTTTCACGCAAAGCCACTGGGGGGGGGGGGGAACCATAGGAAGGGTTGCAGAGAACCCCCACCTCTAAAGTAAAGAGCCACTCTTCGTTTCCAGCAGACTTTATTTAAGGAAAAATAAGGTGCATAAATAAACGGGATAAGGTTTGGCTTCACAAGAGCCATAGTGAGGGGAGGGGGGAACAGGCTGCTGCTCCTGCCCCCAAGGAGTTTAAGGCAATAGCGAGGGGGGAGAAGCTCCCCCCCCCTTGTGATCCTTTGGGACGGCAGCAGCTGCTCCATTCCTGAGAAACAGTCCTCTGTGAGTCGGGAGGGGCGCTCGCCCCCCCCCAAAGGGGGACCCCCCCATGCATGCAGCACTCAGCCCAGGGAGGCCCAGGTGAAGTGCTCGAACCAACAGGTGACCCAGGTGAGGCCTGGCCGCGGCCAGGGAGAGTGAAGGCCAGTGGGCCTAGTGGGCGGGGCGGTGCGTGAGGTCCTGGATGCTGGTGCTCAGGTTCCGGGTGGGCTGCAGGAGGGAAAGAGGAGGGGTCCCCTTCAGGCTCTGATTTCCTGCCCCAGGTGCTCCCTGCGCCCATTCTTGCTTTTTCTCCTGGCTGGATCTGAACCCAGGCGGAGCCACATTGCCCAGAGAACGACCGGTCTGCAACTGGGGCTCTGCTGCTGAGCGTGGGGGTCCTTCCGGGCCCCTGACTCACCTTTGGGGCTGTGACAGCTGCACCCTCGTTCACATGCAGCAGGTTGAGGGACGTGGCCCGTGTCATCCTGAGGGAGAGAGACCCCGTTAAGCTCTTCCTGGCCAGCCTGGCTGAGCCTCCCAGACGTGCTGGGGGGGGGCTTCTGGGGCGCTCCCATTCACCTGGGGGCTGCAGCTTCCTTGGGCTGCCCCACTGCCTGGCCCCGGAGCTTGGAGACCAGCTTCTCACTGCTGCGCTTGAGGGAGTCCCGGAAGCGAGAGAAGGAGCTGCTGCGCCTCATCCCCTCCTAGAGGGAAAGAGGGGGTGCAAGACTCAAAACCTGGGGGGGCTTCCCCATCCCCTCCGGCCACCTGCCGTCCAAGGTGGGCACAGGCGGTCACGGTCTGCCTGGAGCCCCCTTTGCCTCCCTCTCTGGAGGCTCAGCTGAGGAGGCTTGGAGGAGGCAGCGGGTGCCAGGGTGAAGCAGCTTAAAAGATTTGCTCCCCCTTCATCCCCCCCCCCCCGCTCGTCATCCCTCCAAAGGGATCTTTGGTTGATCTCCAAGCCACCTGCGGGAGAAATCCTCCGAGGACTCACCTGCCCTTCCCAGGTGTGGCCAGCTCCTGTCCAGCTATAATCTGAAGGAGGGGAGGGGGTTTCAAGAGGTGAGTGCAGATGCTGAGGCCGTGGGCACCTCCCTGTCCCCCCCCCCAGGGAAGGGGCTGCCCAGCGCTGGGCTCTTACCGGCCCTGGGGGTGCTCAGCTCCTGGTCCTGCAGGGAGAGAATCTCCTTGTACAGCTGCTCAGCCTGCTGGAACTTGCCCTGTTTCACGAAACACGAGGCCTGGCCGAGGGGAACAAGCAAGGCGGGGGGGGGGGTGAGCACTTCCCCTCCTCCATACGCAACCAGTGGAGCCCCAGTGGGCAGGCAGCAATCGGTCAAGTACAGCCCCCATCCAAAGGGCAAAGCACACCAGGAGAAAAGCCACTGCTCAGGCTGGGGTGCCTTTAATTGGGTGGCAGGAAGGTGAGGCAGGGGGAGAGAACCGGCCACTGTGATGCCATGGTTTGAAGCAGGGCCTGGCTTAGTGGGCCAGTACCATTTTATTTGTCAATAAAAGCCTGGTCATTGGCATGCTGCCCTACTTTGGACGTATTTTACCCAAAGAGAGTCACCAGGGCAGAGCCAGCAGTAACCCTCCAACTCCACGGTTACCAGGTTATTCTTGGTCTTGGCCACGTTGCCGTCGCTGGGGCCCAGCTGGCTCTGGTAGATGCGAAGGGCCCGCTGGTAATACTGCTCCACCTCTTCGAACTTGCCCTGGTTTTGGCACAGGAGGGCCAGGTTGTTCAGCTGCTTGGCCACGTCTGGATGGTCGGCGCCCAGCACCTGTGAGGGAAGGGCAGAGGTGCCCAGCTGATGTGCTGCCCGGGGCAAAGCGTGCCCCCCCCCCGCCTCTCTGGGACTGCCTCTCCTCCGGCCCCGGAAGGCACAAACCGGGTTGCATCAGCATCTCCAGCCTTGGCCACTTCAAGACTGGTGGGCCTCAACTCCCAGGATAGCCGGCTGGGGAGTTCTGGGAGTTGAAGTCCACACGTGGCAAAGTGGCCAAGGTTGGAGACCGCTGGATTACAGCCACTGTCTCCATATTCAGGCAGACCTTCTGGCTGTCAGGACCAGCTCAGACCCCCCCCCCCC